AACACTTTGAAATCAGTTCCATGGACGTTGCGCACTAGAATGGAACACACGAATATCCAACACAAAATTGAGGCTAAACCCTGAGCGACAGACTAGTCCGAAAGTGGAGACCTCACAAGATATTTCGTGACTATTTTTTGTAAGTCTAAAATGATTTTGAGACTTCAAGGTTTGACAATTTGTAGGCAAAGTCCATTTTAAGAAAATTGGAAAATTTTTAAAAAATTTAAGATTTAAAAAATCGCACGAAGACGAAGTTGTTCGCTGATTTGAATAGAGACTTAGAGCATGTACGGACGTGTTCCTCTCCTGTCTTACAATGCGTCGTCTTTCAACACTGTTTTCCAAAGTTCGGGCCACTGGTTTGAGTCCTGTGGACACCGTCATCTGTGAATTGAATTTGCTGTTTGATGCGTTGCTTTGCGGCTCCTTTGCCACCAGAGTTTATTCTACGGGTTCTCCGGTTTTTCAACCTCCTTAAAAATCAACATGTGAGTCGAGCGTTGTGTGCATAAAACAGTAAATATAGTGGTAGTGAGTGTGAGTGGGGCCACATCAGCTAAAGCTGCCAAAATAATTAGCATGCTCTAAAATAAAAGATGATGACGATGATGATGGTRATGATGGTGATGATGATGGTGATGATAATGGTAATGATGATGGTGGTGATGATGATGCTAATAATGATGATGATGGTGATGGTGATGATGATGGTGAGGCTAGTTCTGATGGTTCTGATGACGGGCGAAGCGGAACAACAAATCCCAATACCACAGTATTACCCTTCTCGAGTATCTACAGAAACATTAACCTATGACCTTGTATATAATTACCTTTTAACATCGAACCTTTGTTATTCTAGGGCTCAGTGATCCATTTTGTGTCGTGCGTGTTAATAACTCCAAGAAATTCAAGACAAAAGTAGTATACGAGAGCCTTGCTCCTGTGTGGAACGAGTCTGTATCTATTGCCATGCCACAGGGAAATGACAAGCTGATTGTTGTAAGTAACAACTGGTACTGGGGCTGGTACTATAGCTAATTAGTGAACAAAGTTTTTAATAGATACGTTCATCATTATTATATTTATCCAATTATTTACGCGATCATGGCCATTTCTCTCTACCTCCCTCCATCTTTCCTTAGCCTTCCTGTTTGTTGGTTTTCTTGCTTGCTCACTTTTTTCCTTGCTTGCTTGCTTGCTTCCTTCGTTCCTGCCGTCCTTCCTTCTTTCCTTCTTTCCTTCTTTCCTTCTTTCCTTCTTTCCTTCATCTATTTATCCATCCATATATATATATATAGGTTCTTTTTCTTTTTGATTTTTTGATTTTTCCACCTATCTTTTCCCTTCCCATTTTTCTTTTCTCTAGAACTGCTCGTATTTTTCTATCGTATTTTTTATTCATATTCGAAGGACGAAAAGTCACTCAATGGAACCACTGTTAATTTCCAATTCCATTATGCTAATTTTTTCATTTCCTATTTTCCCGCCTTTTTATATATATTTTTCCTTTATTTTCTTATTAAAGGATATGTTCGACAAAGACGTTTTTCAGAACGACTTCATGGGATCTGTAACATTTTCTCCAGAAGAGATTGAAGAACTCTCAAAGGTCCTTTACTAATTGCAATTTTAATCTAACTTTTTTTGTCCCAATTTTACAAACATAAGGAATTAGGCTAAAATAATTGCCATCTTACAGACCAGATTAATTTTTTAAAATGTTTTTACAGAGTTTTTCTGGTTTTCCTCCCTCGGCGCCCATTTCCACTGTAAAATGACATCCCTGATTTTGTCCTCAAACATATGCAAAACTAAAAATTCAAATCGCATTTTATGAATGTGTTTAAATGTTTGTTAAACAACTGATTTGTGTATAGAAATAGCTGCTGTATTGATTCCCGTGATTATTCTTATTTACTTCAGAAAACTATTCCTGAATGGTACAAACTGAAAGATGTTGATACGGGAGAAATTCAGATAAGACTAAAGAAATGTAAACCTGGGGAACAGGTAGTCACGAAACAAACCAATTGAATTATATGCAAATGTAAATGACGAATGAGTAACATAATAATATTCAAGCTTATTCGATATTGTTTTGGAAATGGGTCAATGATGGATGGATGGAGGGATGGATGGAGGGAGGGAGGGA